TGTATAAGTTAATTAGATGCTGCTATTGTGGCCCTTAAAGAACTTTAGATGCCTATGGCTTTACTTCTGCCTATGCAGAGGAATGTTTATTTTTCTGCCAGAGCTGAAAAGCTTGCGCTCTAGAAATGGGGGATTACTTTGCCTAAGTGTCTGGTCAGGCTTGACCATTGGGGGGATTGCCAGGACCTAAGCCATACACGCTAACTAGATCTGGTACTCGACATAAGCTGCTCCTTCTCTAGGGACTTGGTGGCTGATGTGGATTCCATGTTTTCTGTTTCTTATGCTGAGGCCTGTAGTATCTCATATAAGGCTGTGGATTCCACCTGAATGCCCGCAAGACAGATTTTCCAACTTTATGTTTTTATTAATCTCACTTCTGTATTCATCTGCTTTAAGTGGGAAACCCACGGCAGTAACAGATACCTTCATTCAGAAAACTGTCTGCAAAACAATTATAATTCTGGAAAATTTTTCTATTTAGAGTATATATGTGTATATGTGTGCATTTAAAAAAAATAAATCATTTATCTACAGTATTTATATGACACATATTACATTCATATTAGAGATAACTGAAACAAAGGCATAATCACTAGACCTCATTGAAAAAATCTTTCCAATGTAGTAATCTTTCCAACCTGTGGCAGAGAAAATCAAAGACCTGAACTCAAGCCTTCTAAACCAGAGACAGATGTTATAGTTTTGGGAACAGGGTGGAATTTTCCTTTGTGGAATATCAGTGGGGATTTTTTGTAGCTGTAGTTAGACAGATGCATTGTCTGTAGAAATTCATAGTCTATACAGCTTTCTGCAGCTGAAAAAATCTGGAAGGACCAGTCTGTATTTGAATATTCCCTATTTTGTGGATATCAGCCATAATTGCACTGAAGACTGTAGTAGATGTCCTGGTTTTAGCTGTAACAGTTATTTTCCTTCCTAGTAGCTGATACAGTGCTGTGTTTTGGCTTTAGTCTGAGAACATTGCTGATAACCATTAAACCATTGATTTAATTGTAGCTAAGTAGTGCTTACTCTGATTGACTTTTCTGTCTCTTACTCTCTGCCACTGAGGAGGGGCAGGGAAAGCCAGGAGGAAGCAGAGACAGGACACCTGACCCAAACTGGCCAAAGGGGTATTCCATATCACAGTACTTCATGCCCAGGATATAAACTGCGGGGAGTTGCCTAGAAGGAACTGGTCACGGCCTGGGTCAGGCTGGGCATTGGTCATTGGGTGGTGAACAATTGTATTGTGCATCATATTCTTTAGTTTTATATTCCTTTTTAGTTTAATATTCTCTCCCCTTGTTATTTCCCATATCATTATTGTTACTAGTAGTAGTAGCTTTATATTCACGTATTAAACTGTTCTTTTCTCAACTCGTGGGGTTTATATTCTTTCAATTCTCCTCTTCATCCCACCCAGAGGGGGGAATAGAGGAGGGTGGGTGAGAGCAGCTGCATGGTTCTGAGTTACCAGCTGGGCTTAAACCATGACAGTAGAACAATTTCTTTTTTTTCTATGCCTTCTGTCTGAGGCCTTTCAAGAAATCTAATTCAATTAAAACAAAAATTTATAATCAACTAACAGATTTAACTTCTAATATTTCTTAACAGATTTTGGGTGTAGATTTTTTTGTTTCAGTGGCTGAAGTTTTGGCATAAGTTTGTATGGCCATGGGGGTTGAATGGCAGTTAAATAAATTGATTAAGTGCTTCAGTTATTGGCACTTCTACCACCTTACTCACATGAAGCACAATCTTACTTGCAGACAATCTGTTGAACCACGTCTGTTGATCTTTCAGAAAATCAATAGAACTATTTGCGGTGCTAAGTAATTTAAGTGTGGCTGAACCTGACTTCATAGCAGCATTTGGGCCCAATTTAGAAGTGCATATTTCATCCAAAATACCACAAAATGCCTTGCCAGTAATATAATACACAAAGCCCTTGAAAAATACTGCTTCCCAAATCCTAAAGAAACAAAATAAGTATTAGGTCAGAGGTCTTGTGGCCTATCCATTTATTCCATTATAAATTCTCTGATATAAGCTATATGAGCAGTAGTTATCCAGCTTCAGATTGGCAAACAGAATTCTGAGATTCTAGAATGCCCTGAATTATCTTCTAATATTCTAGTCATATCTAAATTGTTCTAATATTATGTCCATATGCAAAGTTATTTATAGGGGAAATTGAAGGTGGAGAGCAAGCACTTTGCCTAATACACAGTACTGTAAAATTTTGTTTCCATGAACATAATAAAGGTGTGAATTAAAATGGCATTGTCTAGGAAAAGTAATACTAATGTTGCTATAGAGTTTTTCTCATAACTTTTAAAATGACATCAACATAAGGAGTCCATGGCACCTCCTGGGTACCCATTCCTCCTGAAACTTGCAGCTAAATGACTAAATCCCAAAGAAATATTATTGGTAACTTGTTACTACCTACTACAGAAAAGTTTTTAGACCACTTCATCTTATTTACCGAATGTATTACTCTGATTAAGGGATGTTCAGTGCTGGACAAAGGATATAATCATCATGGCAGTGTGGGATTGTGTCCTAATTACTTTTTTCCTAGCCATCATCAGGTTGGTTTATTTCTGGCATTATTAAACATTCCTAACTGTACTGCACTCCCATGCCCTGCATGCTAATAATTCCCTTTTTTGAGGACAGACGTACAGCAGCCTATTTTTCTTACCATCCCGAAGAAATTTTCTAGCAGCTCACTGCTGACCAGGCAGAGGAGCTAGCACAAAGTGGCCAACAAGTCAGCTGCAATGGAAATGATATTGTTTTTATTTTGCCTCAGGACTATTAAGAGAGCTCCACAAAACCTGAAAACACCCAATTGTTCTTTATAGACTTTTTTTTAAGTAGAGTTGGTAAGAATACAGATTTGTAGATACTGTGGCAGTAAAGGCCAAATAAAGAGAAGATTGATTGGAAATCGTAGATTAATTTAGACAGTTGGATTAGGTAGAAATCACCCTGATGTGCAGTAAAGCAAGCAACAAGAATTAGGGTTTTGAAATAGTGTGAACCATGTTTTAAGAGTGCTAGCATTTCTTCCTAGGAATAAACTGTCTTAAAATCCCTCTATAAATGACTGTTCATTAGCTTATCAATGTGCATAATGGCTCTCAAAATCATAAGAATTAATAATAATTCAAATAGGAAAAAAGGGACATTAATTTCTCATTCATGAATATTATCATTTTAGTAGACAGTCTCTTCCTGGCAATCTTTCAAACTCTTAATTTTCAAGTCTGTTGTTACTGTTTACCTGTTATTTGTACTATCAAAAACCTCTCCACTGAGCCACCAAAGGTTTTCAAATCACGCTGACTTGGACATTAGTAGAGAAGGTGAGAGCAGAAGACAACACCAAGTATGGGATCATGGTGCCCTGATAACATTCTTCAGAATACAATCATGTTTGCTCAGCCAAAGCATTCACCAAAGAGCAATGGAAATTTATGGAAAGGGCAATGAAAATAAGGGAAGGAGGACTATATTTAGCCCCAGAAGACCAGTATGATGGTAGATTATCCAGAGAAAGTGACAATGGCAGAAGGTAGGTACTAAACATTCAACTGCAGAATAAGGTGCATAAGAAGAGACATGAATGGCATGCTATGCTGTGCCCCATGGACTGTCTGCATCCACTTAAGGCACTGTGTCCTGCTCTTTTCCAACAGGACATAGCAGGTGGATGGAGAACCACCCAAAGGGCATGTTCAAGTTCTGGTGCTTCAATAAGTATCTTATGGCAGTGCACCACAGAAACTGAAGGTGAACATTTAAGAAATCCTTTGCTGTTTTTCATCTTTTAGCACTGCTGGGGTTCCACAACCAGAACTAGAGAGTTGATGTTCTCCACCTAGTTTCCTTTGAAAGAAGAAGAAAGTGAGCTACCGAGAGTAAACTTTCATGTAATGCATTTCTTTACCTTGTGCATTTAATAACACTGCATCTTTAAATAACCCAGAAAGGAAAGATCTTGTGAGATGTGTTTAACCTCATTATATGTGATGCTCGGTCTGGAAAAGCTTTAGTTGAACTAAAGGCTCTTATGAATATAGAATCAAAGTGAGCTGTACATTAAGAGTTTCGTATTCTCTGACAGCTGCGCATGTGCACACACATCTCTCATTAACAGTAATGGCAAATATGCATGCCCATCATTCAGAAAACAGATCTCTAAGTACTTTATTTGGTTTGTTTTCTTCCTAGAGATTTTTCTCTTTTGGATCTTTAATTAATCTCCTACTAGGCTTTTTCACTTTAAGCTATCCTTCTTCTTCCCCCCCCCACCTCCGCCTCCTTTTTCCAAAAGAAGTAAACCCCCAAATCACTTTTTTAGTAAAGATTTTCCAAGCTGATAATTTTACAGAATACACCTATGTATATTAAATACAGAGACAGTTTACAGCACACAAAACTCAGAGACATGTAACAGAATAAATGCCTTGGACTTAAAGAAAAAAACTTAAAAAAAAAAAAAATAAGCAAAGGTAGATATGAAAATAAGAACATGAATGTTTTTGCATTCTTTTTGTGATCACTGTAAGGCAAGAGTCTGCAAACTTGTGGAACAAAACACACACATTTCATTCTGATTAGTATAAAGACAGCAACTTCTAACATGATTCACAATTAGTCTCTCTCATGTTTGGGGATATATGGATTATCAGCCTAGCACATTTTGAATGCATACACATTTTAATTCCTTTCCTAAACCATTTTAGATGCTACCATTAAATCGCATATACAAAATTTATAGATCACTAATTTGGTATATTTTTACTGCTTAAATAACTAAAAGCTGCATGAGATAAAAAGGCAGTTAAAACTAATAAAAAGACAGGATTGTGAATAACGGAAGGTGAGTCAGAACTGAGATGCCTCTGTTCTATTTTTAAGTTTATTATTATTTTTATATAATAGGCTATTTCACTAGCTTCTACTGTATCTGATGTACTTACTTATCGCCTCCACAAACTGTTCAAAGAAGCAATATGGGAACAGCGGCTCAGGCAGCTCTCTGAAAAACATCTTGAGTGCTCCGGTGACAACGTGGATGTCCTCCCACTGGCTGTCGTCCAAATTCAGCTTCTCTTCTGGGAAAACACGAGGAGAAATGGAACAACTGGTTTTAATGAAACAATTACAAGACACTAATTATTATGTTAATGTTTGCCTACTATCATCAGCAACCGTTAACAGCCTTCTGCACCTAGAGGTTTGGTGCTGTGCATGTTTTTTTTTTCCTTTTTTTTTTTTTTTGTAGGAAGAGAACATTTTCAATGGAATACCATCTGTAGGAATGCAGCTAACAAAAAACAAGAGACACAAAGAGACAGTACCATTGACACAGTATGTCAGATACATTTATTCCCATAATGCATCAGTATGAAAATTAGCATCACAGCTCAACATGATTCAAAGCTATTGGTTTTGAGGCCGAGGGGCTAAGAGTTGCCAACGATGGACGGCTCAAGGGACCGGCCTAAAGGCCTTGCTGAGCCAACAGGAGACATATGCTAAACATGGCAATAGAAAATGAGTTATTGCTTTACATGTGTTAGCCTTGCTATGTACAAGGGAATAATGGGTAACGCTTTTCTCCTTTTTTGCCTGAATGTAATGTCAGTAAGGAATAGAGTACTGTGAGAGAAAGGATATTAATTCCTTCTTACTGCTTTAAATATATTTTGTTTGGTTTTCATCTCTGGGAGGAAGATTTGCCCAGCAACAATATTAGACAGACCCCTGTTGGACTACCTAGGCTATGCAAAGCTGTCAAAAATGATAACGCACTAAAGACAAACCACAAGTGCTTACAAAACTGTTTTGCAAACAAAAAAGCATTTTCTTTTGAAGCTTGACTGAGCTAAAGAATTTAAATATAAAAGAAACTAAATCCTAAAATAGAGTTTCTAATAAAAATAAAACAAGATTGGATGATTATTGTATTTCTTTTGGTTTTGTTTTTTTCTTTTTAATTCTGGTAGTGTGATACTGTTAGAATATAATAAACAGTGAGATCATAATCCATATAAAACTCTAGGAAAGTACAAATCCTTATTAGTCCAAGCCAACATGGCACACACTTTCTCCAAGTTCTGTTGCTCCAGAACTGGAGTTTGCTTTTTTCGCATGTGCTATGAATCTCTTTTTAAGAAAATTTCAGTGTGAATGCAACTTGGGGAACAATTATAGAAACTACTGAAAAAATTAATTTGAAGCAACATGATCCTGTAATGTTTCACTAAATGTCACTGAAATTTCACGTTTACCAATTCAGTTTGCTTCAAGAACAGCACCTTTATGGAAATGTTGTTAAACAAAATGGTAAAAGTATTTGAGACACATGGACACCCACAACTCCTGATAGTTGGTACTTTAATGCAATAGTTTTCCCACTATGGACTTTAATTTTGGACAGAAAATCTTATTCACAATGAAGTCATCTTTAATTTTTTATGTAATAAATATTATGAAATGCTTTTAAATTTCTGGATTCAGGAAATGTATACAAATAAAGGATTGCACCCAATTTCTTAACTTGGAGTAATGTGAGACAAAGCTGCAACAAAGGCAGACTTGTGCATATCAGTTAGCTGTCTTTCTTGCTTCTTTGGTTTCAAGCTTCTTTTTTTTTTTTTATTGAATTACCTCAATCATAAAAATAATGATTTGATCTCAAATGAGTTACCAGAGGGGATCTTCTTTAGACTCTAAGATCATATTTGATTGATCGTATTTCAACAATTAGCCTTTTATTTTGCCACACGCTATTGAACTAGATCGACAGCATCTTAGCAGGACAGCTTTAAACAGTCAACTGTTAACAATAGCATCAAAAAGAGAGACCTGATGGGGTTTACTGTCACTTTAAAGAACAGGGTGGGTTTTCACATTGTTGAAATCTGTCAGATATTTTGAAATGTCCCTCTCACTATGGTGCCACACCCCCTGCGTGCCCTTATAATAAAATTGGTTTTACTCCTGATTAAATCATTTTCTCCCTACCCACTACCATACTTCTCATAATGGACCTGTGTGCTCTACAGCTGGTGTTCTTCCCATGGTACCAATTCTTACTTTATCTTTTAAGCACTTCGCTGCTAAGATCTCATGCAGAGTGCTTATGTTTTGTTAAGAGCTTCATTCTTAGAGAAATAGCTTAACACATGTTCTAAAAATGTTGTACAACTTATTGCTTAAAACACATTTAGAAAATGTATAAGTACTGTAGCTTTGGCACAGAACTTTAAGTAGAAACCTTAAAAAAACCCAACTTGTTTTTTCCATGCATTTGTCTTAAATGTCTAAAGTGGAATGCTTGACTTCCAAGGCTTTATAGAGACTTATCTTACCAGATTTTTGCACCATTTCCAGCTCTTCAAGGAAACGTGTTAGGAATGTATCATCGTGAAAGCAAAGGGTGTCAATTTTCCCTCTAGCAATAAGAGAGATTTTAAAAATGTTTGCTAGAAGGAACAAATGCCAAGAAAAAAAAAAATTAAAAAGAAAATAGAAGTACATTCAGTTAAGAGTCATGTTTGGTTCCCACTGGTTGGAATTGCTCACATACCATGGCGATAGGGCCATAAACAAACACACACATGCATTTCAGGCTAGGTTTAAGGGGAGGACCTGACTTTTTGGCTTTACACAGACATATTTTTTTATTGGGGTGTTTTGCTTACATAAAGATTAAGTCCCAAATCTGGTATTTAAACTTGACAGTCAAGGACTGCTTTCAGTCACGAGATACTGTATCTGGGAAGATGCTGAAAATCTCACAATCCTAAAAATTTGCTTTAACTTGTCAGTAGTGTTTGATTAGCTCAACCATCACTGCCAGTTGATATCATATATCTTAGATACAGACACAAAATATGCCCAGAAAATCCCATGAAATTTATGCTAATACTAGAGCTGATAATGCAAAGACCACATTAAGAAAAAAAAGAAAAATAAAATAGTGCCGACACTTGTCAAAGTTATTAATTAAAAAAATCAATATACAATACATTTGTGAAGGGAATGTGTGTGTTATTATTCTTAGCAAATCAGTCTTTTCAGCAATATGCATTTTTAGTGGTACTCACAATGTCTGCAATAGAATGAAAGAGGAGTTCAGCTTTGGTTTAAGCATACCATCATAAAGTTATCCTTGTTCAAAAAGGAATGGAAAGATCAGAGAAAGACAAAAAAAAAAAAAAACCCAAGAAAATATCAAAATTGACTTAGGCAGTACAGAGAGCTCAGTTTTGAAGGAAAATGGATGCTGTTCCTCTAACCACATGTCCTGCCTGTTGTGTAGACTAATCTCTAGGAATAAAATACAGTCATTTGAGAGCACTCCTTGTTCAATTTTCTTCTAAGATAATTTATACAAGTACTTTCCCAGTTATAAACTGTCTTTTGCCCATGCTACCATTAAATCCCAGAGCACCACGTTCAGAAATCCTACTTCACGTTGGCTATTATATATTTCTGCATCCTCTGAGTGACCCTAAATAACATGGAAAACAATTCTTGCAAACACAACTAAAACTGGGTCTGCTATGGAGATTGTGCCCTCAAAAAGCTGTCTAAAGACCTCGGTGAGATGTGTCTTTGATACCTTGAAAACTTTCAGGGATGTGGCTGCTTCTCTGGGCAACCTGTGCCAGTGCCTCACCACCCTCACAGAGAATTTCTTTCTACTATGCAATCCAAATGTCCTCTGTTTCAGCTTAAAGCCAAATGTAATTTGTACACTAAAAGGTATGTGTGTTCGATAGAAGTACCTCCATTTCAAAAGCCACACCTTCTCTCATCACTAGAGCAGAGACATAGCAGCCCTCCTGGGGCAAACAGATCCTTTCAAAGTGGTCATACTCAATTGAGAGCAGTAACAGAGCACAGACATGTCTGGAGACATGACAGCAATGGGATGCTGTGAGGTGGTGAAGGCTTTTGCTCATCATATGACACGGAGCTTACCCCTTGGCAATGCGGCACATGATGTTTAGCTTTCTCCACTGCCAGCAAATCCTGTCCTGACATTGCATTTTATATACACACTCCAAAAAGCATGCAATACCTTGAACTGTGATTAAATAGTACAGCAGAAGCCTCAACCCGTGTAAAGCTATAGTTTACTCATTCAGTCAGATTTTTGTGAGTTCTCTCCTAGCTAAACAATTATTCTTCCTCTCTCCCTTGCTAAGTTTGAAGGTCCACTGTCCTGCCTGCACAGTCTTTCACTTCCAAGAGTGTTTAAACAGAAAAAAGAAGTCAGATTAGCAAGTCATTAAATTTCATCTACAATGTATTTCTAAGTAGCTTCTGCTTAATCCATTCAATGTTACCATTGATGAATTATAAAGGATGTAACAGCAAAAGAAAGGTTGCATGCATTACTCCTTTACTAGAGGAACACATCATGCCATTTTAACAGATATTTTAAAACATGATGTTATAATGCCTGAGCATTTCTTCATTACTCGAATGCCCGTTTCCATGTAGCCTAGGCGCAAATTACTCAGCAATTTAATTTAAAAAGCAGAACATCTCTATGTACATTTGGAGTGCTGTTTATTTCAGTTCTCTGAAATGGTAGTTGGCTGACCTGGGGGCATGCTAGAGCAACCAAGTATTGCTAACTTAAATCTCAAACTTTGCCAAACAGAAAAAAAAAAAAAAAAGTATCTTTACTTAAGCACACTGGTTTATATTCATCCTCACATAGTTCCACTGAAGTCCACAGAGTAAGACAGGGATGAACTATCTCATTTTTTTCTGTGAAGAAGATCCAGTACTTTTGAGAACTTCAGAAATGGTACATCATGAAAGCATACAGAGTAGTTCAAAGGTTTGGAAATGTGGTCAGCTAGTGATGCCATTGCATTGGGAAATTTCTATGCTATTAGTTGTTGTTTGAAATTGGAAGCATAAACGTATATAATGGTACTGAAAGAAGAATACTTTTGGTAGCCTGAAATGGGTATCATCACTAAGATACTCATAATTGTCCACTGCCAATACCTGCAACAGGGTTAGATGACAGCAATATTAGTTTTGACTTGACACATTCTATCTTTTGGATTTGAAGCAATAATTA